GAGTCAAAAACCAAGAACTGGAGCAGAGAGCAATCTCAGCAGAGTCCAAGTGAACCCCACGAGCAACAACACGGCCGGGAAAAGCTAACTGACCCACCGACTCACAAACAAACGAGCAAGCAAAAGAGTTGGCAAAGGAGTTAAGGAGCTAACAGAGGCGTTAGCAAAGAGGCAAAAAGAGTGATGGCCTCTGAGCCCTCTCCTTGCATATGCCCCGAGCATGCCGTGCTATGGAATGAAATACTCCTGCGCTCAGTTTGGGTCAGCTGTCTGAGCTGTGTGTCCCCTCTCACTGTGCAGTGAGAAAGCCGGGAACGCAGCTGCAGTATTAAAAGCTGAGAAAGACCTTGAATTTGGTGCAAGTGCTCTCCAGCACCAGCTAAAAACACACCTTATCAGTACTTCTCTCAGGGTAAATCTGGTAACAGAGCTTCATACCAGCCACTGTGAGGAAAGTTAACTCTTTCCTGACTAAAACCACCACAGGACAGAAATATTCACTCAAATCCAGTTGATGTATCAGACTCAAACCTTAGACAGTGCTGTTTGTCTCATGTTTTAGATGCTACACAGACGTCACAGTTGAGGAAAACCATCATAGAAAAACTGGGCTCCTATAAAGGAGTAGCTTGACCAGAAACATGGGTTCCTGCTCATAATCGTGATTCCCTTACGTATGAGATGGTGCCCAGGAAAATGAGCAGACACACCTGCTTGAACAAGGGCCTGCCACTGAAGCTACAGCTTGCTTCTGCGTATGTCCTAAGAACCTGAAACCTCAAAACGCCTTCACTTCCCACAATAACGATAAAATAAAAATTCTGTTAGTTGCAGGTTTCCTAAATAGAAAGACTTAATCCACATCATATCATTATTCATGGGTTTACTGTTTGTTCCCTTGGTTAAATTAGCCAAGTACTGATGTTATTGTCCAGCAAAGCGCTTCCAGAGACACTTTCAGAGTTCCACGAACACTGATGAACACAGTCAAAGTCACTGGGAGCTCTGCACATTTCAGAACACCGTATCATTTTGGATACGTACCTCCCCATAAACCACTGATTTCTGCACACATCAATAAAGCGGATGTCTGCACTTATTCCCCCGCTCCCCAAACCCACCAGCATTCACACAGCACAGTGCTCTGGAACAACAGAAGTGTGCATAAAAATCTCACAGATCATAAATCGAGCAGAGCACTGCTCAACACCTGAATTGCCAGGCGGTAAGTAAACTGTTCCGCGCATCGCTATCGGTTAAAAGTGTTCTTTACGAAGGGAACGTGAGGTTTACGCAGTGGTTTTCGCTCCTCGTGGCATCCCATGGGAACAAGCAGACTAAAGGAGTGGGAAGAAGCGCCCTGCTGATGTTAAAAGGTACGTGCTTAGAAAGTGCAAACCGAGTGAGCATCGGCTGCTAAACCCCTCTCCCCCCACTCAGGTCAAAAGGCAGATGGCAGCAAAATAGTGAAGTAGTTCCTGTATTATCAAACACGGCTCCTTTTTCCACATCTAATAAGGTTCTTCTTTTTTGACATTTAAAAACCCGTTTTGTTCCCTTTTCAAAGACACTTTTCATGTATCACATCTTTCCAAAATATTAGTGTAAAGAAATAAATCCTCACCGCTCAAATCCTAAAGAAAACATTTTGAATGAAACACTGCATTTTACTACTGTTTCCATTTAAAACACTGAAAATCTTGAAAATAACACACTATTTTCATTTGACAAACACCAAATGAGATCTCCTTTTCATTTCTCGTCACTGCCAACAAGCTGAAAATTCTCAGACTGCACCGCAGAAGGGTGAAGCTCCCTGCAGTGCCTTAAACCACCAAGGAAATTCCAGCTAAAATATCTGCCAGTCAGGTTTCACAGGCTGGAACACAGAAGTCATACAGTCTAATTCTGCAAAGTTCAAGGGTAAAGGTCAACTCGAGTTGTACCAGACTGAAGGGCCATTAGTAGCTCATTCAAAAACCGAGAAAATAAAGCACAGAAACCAACCAACCAACCTCCCAGATTATCCCTTAAGTATATGGAAAGGGTTTCCTGTTTTCTCCCCAGGTATCTCCAATGATGCTCCTGAGCACACTGACCTCAGGCACACTTGTCTGGCTCTTTCTCTGCAACTTCACATCTACACAGAAACCCGGCTTCAAAAAACCACTTGTGAAGCCACCCCCTTTCTCTCAGCGATGAAACGTGGGTGCTTCCCCCAAGACCTCCACCTGCCAAAACTTTACCCAGTCTGGAGAGTCCCAGAGCTGATGCCTCCCTCCAGCAGACCCTGTGCTGAATGCTAGAATAATCTTGCAGAGGATATAAATATCGGCTTCATATTTTGGTAACCACCACGCACCTTTTTTGATACTTTCCATGAGAAAACGGTGACTCTAATTTTTAAATACGAGTTTCAAAGACCATTTTTAAAGTTTCCTACTCCTGTACTTACAAGTAACGAAGTATCTGTGTAAGAGCAGCTTCAGATCTTCCTTGTTTTCCTTAGCCATTCACCACCCAGTGCAGGGGACTGGGTGAAGCGGATGCTTTTCAGGCTAGGCAATGGACACCTGCTAGAGAGGGTGGGGAAGAGGGAATTTTAAATGAGAATCAGGGAACACATCAAGCCTTTGGAGGACTGGGCTTGACCTTCTCCCCCCATAATTGATGTATATAGGTTGAACGGATGCAGTTACCATGCAGGTAGCTGGTTCAAATGTCTCCTACAGGGAGAAGGCAATCGAGAGTCAATGTTTCTTTCGCTGGGTAAGACAAGAATCCCTTTTTTAGTCATTGCTATGGCAGTTGGGAGTCTTCTGTCTGGGATCCGTCACTTCTTGACCCATTTTGGGATCAGACAACATTTAAATGAGAGGTGTAGAACCTACATTCTCTCCACAGGCATGAAGACTATTATTTAATGTAAAAATACACGTAGGCACATAATGAACACACAGAAGAAGCATTTGTAAGGACATTTACAATAAATGGCACTAAACACCTTTATTAAGATTTTTAATTTTTCTTTTATGAAAAATGAATAGGTTTCTCTTTTTCTCTTGTACACAGAGGAAGAGCAAACTAATGGCAAAAAATCAGGAATGCTTTCTTATGCCAATCCCATCTCTGTAGCCACAAAGATACGACTGTTTAACAGACAAGAAATGCTGTTTATTGCAGACTTTAAGCTGATTCATATGAAAAAGGCACTATGAAACTTAATCAATCTAGGTGATTAAATTTGTCTAACTTGAGAATAATACATATATATAAAATCACATGACCATGTGAAATAACAGAACATTTTGGTGAGAAAAATCATTGCGTCTTCAAAAATAGTATTTGCAGGAAGGATGCTTCCTTTTCTCCCTCTTTTACCTCCAGGAATCCGCTTTTGCAAATGACTGCATTTATAAAAGAACAATCGCTTTTTACATAAGGACAAACTGACATCTGGGATCAAAACACAAAGAAGTCTAGATTATGCACTGTTCTTTTGGGGGGTTAAGTTACAAACAAAAAAACGCGAGTATATTTAGAAAAAAATAAGTACTGTGAATTGTTTCATTGCTACCTACAGCGGATCTGACCCCCTCTCTGAGCTGAGCTGTGTGACTATTTTCTAGTTATTCCTTCTTGTGCAATATTATAGTTCATCATGAGTGAAGTATTGATAAAATCAATGTACAGGGCATTATTTTGCTATAAACAGCATCATTAGTAATAAAACACCTTGGGAGTGATGCAGGAAAAAGTCAGTCTATGTCGGGCTGCTCTCTAAACATTTTCCCTCTGATTGGTGGAATCAAAGACTGAACTAAACATCCTGCAGCCGAATGCATGACAGAACAGATTGAGCCAAAAAGACGTATCTGCAAACTACAGCAAGAGATGGGATTCAGAATCTTATTATTACTGAAGGGCTCAAATGCTTTTTTATTGCTGGCTCAGCTTCCCGTGGATGAATCACACAGACAGACGTGGTTCCAGTTTATCTGTCATGGAATGGTTAATTCCAGAAAGCCAAGACTCATCTTTGGGTGTAAATGAATCATGCACCAGTGTTTTCACTGTCAGGAACCTCCGCTGAATTTCTCCTCTTCATTTGTAAGGATGAGAAGCCAGCAGCAGGTACTTCCGCGGAGACTACTGCAAATTTTCTTTATGGTGGCTATAGTTATGTTTACAATATTATAAGACATTCCCCTGCACTGCTTCCTAAAGCAAAGCTGGATGGTATAATGCCATGGACAATGGAATTAAAGAAAAGAGAAAAGACATTTTAGTGGCTGCTTCCTTCATCAAAGGACTCCACACCTGAATCTGTGGCAGCTGCACTGATCTTTTCTTGCCGTCTTCTCATAATTTCTTGCAGTTCTGAGCTACCACTGTTAGCCTATAAACAAATAAAAAGGAAAGAGTTTACTTGTGGTTTTGACAATGATGAAGATCACCTGCCAGCGTTTTATTTAGACAGATGTTTGCACAAGTTAAACTCACCTTGCAGCTGCAGAATGAAAAAATGTGCTAGGAATCCGGTTAAATAACATTTGGAATAGGAGAGGATTTACATTATCCTTAAGTGTAGACCAGAAAAGAACCTGCAGACTACTAAAAGTGTCAGCTTGACTTTGAGCACTGCTGAGCATCTTTAACTTTCACACAAGCCCTTGGAAGTGTTGGATATTTATGGGGTGAAATATGGCCTCAGCTAAAGCAGGGTTAAAACCCGCAAGTTTGTTAGGATTCCACTCTTGAGTACTTAAATATCATGGCACTCATATTTAGAAATTAACACACACAAACCCTTGGTGGGTTTAGATTATGTAAACACAGAATTCATGCACGCACACGGGAGCGCGCAGCCAAGGCCCAAAGAAGGACTGCGGTACCTGATGTTAGTATCCCACGTTACACATCACCATCGTGCATCTCCTGTTGAGACGCAGCCTTCAGACTCGGAACACAGCATAGAAACTGAATCGTACTGCTACATGAGCAACCGTGTAGCAGTGTGAGAACAGGGCCTTATTTCACCTTTCAGGGTGAAAACCAGGTCTGCTGAGCTAGCTGCAGACAGACTGCTTCAACAACACGAACGCGGCTATTAGCAAGGCCAGGGGACATACCCAGTAGAGCAGAACTTTCCCAAGCATGCATGACTTGGAATGAGAGTACAGGATTATAACACAAGAACCATAGCTGTTACTGTGTTACTTGGCTATGACATTGACCTTCCCAGCTTCAAAACTATCTTCAAAAATAAGGAAGCAGAAACTGGTTTTGAAATTTGTAAAATAAATTACAGGACTGCTAAGGGGCAAAAAAAAAATCCTTCAATTGATTCTGAACTCTGAAAATTTATCCCACCACACAAAATTTAATTCAGATTTATCCCATTATATCTAATACACTGCACTGTCTGATGCCATTGCCTGGCAGACAGCTTAGGTGTCCACAGCGAAGATACCTCTGCTAGGTAAATTACCCTTGCTTTCTCCTCTCAGAGTGGAAGGGCAAAGCCCGGGGGCTCATAATTGACTCCCTGAAGGTGAGAGAGCACTTCGCTTTGTCTTAATACATCTTGTCCTTGTCCATATGGGTTTAGCTACAGAGCAAGTGCAGCAGTCACCTGGTACTAAGCTATGCATAAAAACCATCAGCAGATACCTGACAACGTGCTTAATCAGAGGTCATGTGCAAATATTTTTCTGAAAATGACTGAGCAGCCGAGGCTGAAAACCGTTTACCTTCCTGATAACATCAATAACAACATGACTGATGAGCTTGAAACGCTGCTCAGCTAAACCAACTGCAATACATCATGTGGCACAGCACAACAGGAACATCCTACTCAGAGACGAGGTAGCTAAGTAGCCTAGGGCCGTTCTTGGGAATACAGTTTTTGGAATAGACCATGGCCTTTGTGATTTACCCATCTTAGTCTCTAACCAGATCATGAGGTATCAGTAAGCTCCATCGTCCAACCCCAATTCTACATCATGTAGATGACCAGCCCAGTTGCTATAATGCACCATACTTGGTATACTAGGTGAACTTCAGCTCTCTGGAGCAACCCCAGGAAAGGGGAGGCGATACTCTGAGGAGTACAAAGAGTGTGGTGCATCCTGCCTGCTCCTGGGATACTGCTGCTGCCACCACCATTTCCTCTGGCCCTGGCCAGCTCTCTGCTGTCTGACACACCGGTCTCACACAGTCTCATCTCTCTCCTTTTGCTTAGCCAGGTTCAGAGAGCTGTTAAACCCAAACACCGTTCCCATACTTGCAGTCTGTTTATACAGAGGCCATAAAACTCCATTAGGAGTCTTGCTTCCTTGGATGTTTTGAATTCTGGTGTGATTCAAAGCTAAATGGAGTTACCATGACAATAAAGTAAAACAATTGAAATCATGGTACCTACTAATATTTTTCCTCATCAGGGTAAAATCACTAAATTCCAACAACTGGAATTCCAATTATAAAATACTGAATTCCTCTGCCTGAGGTAGAACAACACTGAAATGAAGATTCTAGCTGCATAAAGGTGAAGACCTGGTTGTCTGTATTTGGGAATGCAGCCTCAAATCTGAGGGGTGGGACTTTCACTGGTTTACAGAAATGGTATGAATCCAGAAACACTTGATCACAAGTAGAAATATCAAATAAAGACAAGGCATGGAGTTCTGTAACCCAAGAGAGAGTGTGTGGGTTTGCTCTGTTTGTACTTAATCGCCCAGGTCATTTACTGCAACATGATATCACAAGAACTACATAAAGGATGCCAGAGACCTCCATGGAAATTTATCACTGATTTAGGATGATGACGGTGATCACACCCATAACCCAGTAGCTGCTTATACAAAGCACTCAATTGTAAAACAGGCCTGCAGCTGATACGACAAGGTGTGTACTTAAACGCTTCTGTTACCAGATGCGGTTCTAGTCTGCGCAGTGAGAACATAGCCCTGTTTGGGACACACAAGAGCATCTTTGCTAGGTCACATGTAGACATTCCGGCTGTGATACTCGTTCCTATAGCTGCTCTTCAACAAGGACAGCCTTCCTAAACCCTGCGACTTGAAACGTTATAGGGACAGAAAGGAAGATGCAACTTAATGTTTTGGGTAATTCAGCAAACAACAGGCTAAAGCAATCAGGAATTGCATGAATTCTGAAATTCATCAGTTAAACATCAAATAACTGAGGCAGAACCTTTTCACTAATGAAATCCAACGACCTTGTTAAACTCTCAGTCCCTGTTTATTAACACTTGCAGAGTGTTTATTAGACAAGTGTTGACTGTTCAGTTTCCCACAGAGCAAGACTTAACGAGGCAAGCAGAATAAGAGCATGCAGGAAAAAAAAGGACAGACTTCTACAGTCCAGAGCATCTCTGCTTTTCAAACTGACTTCCAATACAAAGGAACTTCCATCTCAGTACACAGAAGCCTTATGAAACTGAGAGGCCTCAAGAATCTCAAAGACCTCGAGATTCAATGGTGAGCTCACTCTACCACTTTCTCATGCCTAATAAATCAAATCTCCTCAACAAAAAATAAAGCAAAACTAACTCATCACCACCAGAAGTACCAGGAATACCTGTTGTCCAAGTACAAGGCAGAGCAAGAAGCAAAAAAAAGGACAATTTATTCCTTTCCTATCAACTTCCCCAAAGCTCTTTCTGGTTCATTTTGCCTTCTTGCAGCCTGATTACAGCACACAATGTCTCAAACTTGAGTACTACCATGTACTTTTTCTAATGTTTGGTAGACCCCTTTAGAAGAAGGGAAGCATCCCACCTGGTGTTTTGAGGGATGCTGTTTCAATGGATTAATAACAAATAATTGAGGTACAAATAATGCTTCACATGATGGCAACAGAGGAAAAACAGACCAGCTGCTTCACAGAAAGAGCTATTTACTTGCATAGGTTCAAAAGTGGTGACCCAGCATCAGGTTAGTAAGAAGGGTTATACATACCTCCAAGGCAGATTTCTGTACCGTAATTTGGCTGTAGACCCTAGACCCTTCTGGGCAAACAGTCCTCAGTTCCTCTTTGTTGAGGGAGAAAAGCTGAGCACCTGTCAGCACGCCAAGGCTGTTGACAGTCCTGGGGTCACACCAAGAGAACAAACAAGAAATAAGCAAAAAAATATACCAGCCAAGGGACAGAAGTAGGTTGTCTTCATCCTATGTTGTCTCAGGTAGGGCTATTAAATCAAGACAAAGCTTTATGCAGCAGAACTCTTGTAGTCAATTCAGTATCTGTTACAACAAGTACCTTTTGGTGGAGGCCCATATATATAATTTTTCCCTAAATATATCTATAGATGTATCACCACATTGATATATATTGACGCATACTATATAAACATATAGACATAAATATATATGTGTATATATATGTAAACCCAAATTCTTTTCTCCAAGGATGTAGCTGATGTGTCTTGATTTTCAGAAGGCCACTTGATCTTAAAAACTAGGCAGACCACATCCTAATAACTGACAGAAAAATAATTTTAAGAATTTTTCATATATCTGCCCTCAAACTTACACAGGGTTGAATCCTTTGGACTGCAACCACGCTTTCACGTCCTCAGGCGAAGAGTCGTAGGTGATGTTGACTACTGGGATGTTTGGTCGTGGCACATGGAACTTCCTCTGGGCAGCGCTCCGGCCAATGGTGAGCCTGTGAACAAGTTCATCCTGCACCTCCTCCATCTGCGATTTCCTGCCTAGAGAGGGAGAGATTCCCCACAGGAGTTATTCACAAGGTTGGTTTATCCAAACAAGGTCATTACTTATACTCCACTAAATTCTAAACTTTTGGGTTTTTCTTTAAAGATTCATTTCTAGATCGGACTGAATTATTATTCTCCTTTTCACCTAGGGAAGATTTCACTATTCCCACTTCCCTCTCTGCAAAACAAAACAGAAGCAAAAAAAAAGAGCCCTCCAAAATTCAACCAAGACCCTAGAAAGAGGAGATGAGCTTTATGTCATGCAGAGGCAGTTTGACAGCACCCAAGCTGTAGAAGAAAACGGGCATGGAGGGTTATTTAATTGTCACAGTCTGTGCTTCTTCAAAAAAAATTATGATTTATAAAAATGAAAACAAAACCAAAAAAGCTGAGGAAGAATATAGATTGTCACACTGTGAAAAGGCAGCATTTTCCACAAACCTTTTTTAATTGAAAGCTTGACTTTTTAGCGCAATGTAGGCAAAAACATTTCAGTGCTGCTGACACATACGACCTTACGTCTAATAAGCTATTACAGCAATCGCATTTTTGAAGGGGTTTTAAGAATTTTGAATGTACTCCAAGCCTGGAGCGACTGCTTAGCTGAAACAATGTCACACTTTGCATTAAAAGAAGAGAAAAAAACAGCAACAAAAAAGCAGTTGCTCTCATCAGACACACAAGAATTGGGCAAGACTTTTTTTTAAAAAAAAAAAAAAGAACACCAAAAAACCCCCCCAAAAACTGTACAAATTTATTATCACACAGAACACATTTGTCTGAAGCATTTAATTCAGTTGCTTGTCATGCGCAGGAAACAAGCTGAAACGCTTTTCATGCATTTCAACAAAATCAATTATAATGACCCTGAAAATTGTTTAAAATGCATATAAAACGTCCTATGGATAATTTCCCAAAAATATGCAGAATCCAAAAAGCATGTAAATACCTTTTTGGGCACAGAGAAGATACTGATTTAACGCAGTTAAACCCTCCATACAATAACTCTCCAATATCTATAAAAATCCTTTGACACACAACTTTACTCTCAAAAATTCTCAGAATTTCCTTTCCTAGGTGTTTTTAGTCATCTTTATTCAACCTTCTCACTTTGAAACATAAACAGTAACTACTGACCCTTCTCTGACGTGCTCAGATGGCAAAAGTTCTTCCCTTTCTCCCATTACACTGACAGCCACAGAGGCAAACGACAACTTCGTTTGTGAGATAGCCAAAACTATTTTCTTTATTTTCCCTTTATATTCTTCCAAAACCTCTCCAAGGATCAACATTTCTAGCCAGTTAGACAAATAAAGACAAGCGTTGCATAGGCTTTTAGGATTTTCGTTTTTTATGACCACAGGAAAAGTAATCCTTGGTTTAGCCATTTTCTTTTTTCATTTATAAAATAGCCCCAGGTGGAAAGTGGACAAAATATCTCTAGTAAAATACTTGAGGTATTCAGGCCTTATTGTGCTGGGTTTCCCCTCTGTCCTCCAGAATGTGAATCAGAAGCCAGAATGACATGTGCTCAGTGATATGTGAAGGTCTTAGATGGGATACACACTGCCTTTAGGCCACGCTATCAAAGCACGCACCAGTTATTTTCCCAAACAGGAAGAGGGTGAGAAAATTGCTATCTTCCTTCCACTTACACAGATTTCGAGAGACTTGTGTTTTATCTAGGCCGAGACTATATTGAAAGATAAGTATTTAGCTGTTAGATACCAGATTCTTACTGCTGTTAGATGCATTATCATAAACCAGACACCCTTGGCGTGAAGCAGGCACTGCATCGCTCGTTCTCTGCAGGGATCCAGTGTACGGGCAGGGTTGGCCATGACCTTTGCAGAGGCAGCTACGCTGCGAGGACTGAGGTACTCGAAATCCAGTAACTGGGCTTGAGCGACAGCTCCCAGGAGAGCATGGGAGCTCTCGTGAGTGGCCCAGGGTCTTAGAGGCGAAGAGGTCTTGTCACCACTTAATTTACAGCAACCCTTCCCACCTCACACCCTGTACCTGAAGCCAGGATGGCCTTCACATTTTCCATCTGTAACGGATAAAGGCCATCGTGGATTCAAGGAAACACACCTGATACAGCATGCAAAGATCATCTTAAATGGCAATAAAATGAGCATTATTGTGCGCGTAAAGTTCATCCCCACTTTCCACATCTTCTATAACTGCTTGGGCTTCTGTTTTTAAGTAATAAACTGCCTAAAACAGGACAAAGGCAGAATCTGGCCCTACTTTTTCTTTGGAAAACAGCAGCAAAGCCTGTTCCCGCTGCCAGGCTGTTCTCCATTTATAATTGCCAGCCAGCCAGACTCTTACGTTAAAGAAACTAAGGTCCCAGAGCTCTCTTAAGTTCAGAGCAGAGGGGAGAGCTCGTCTACCAGCAGGCAACATCAAACAGCCTGAGTGTGCCTATCCCAGCAGGCACGCTTCCCATCCACGCTTCCCACCTCCTGAGGACTGGGGTAAAGAAGCCCTTCTGCAGAAAGGAGTATGCCTGGGTTTTATCTCAGGTGGAAGTGAGATTTTCTGATAAGGCAGGGAGGCAGGGGTTGGGAAAAGCTGTCAACCCTTGAAGGGTAAAAAGCTCATTATTTTAACAGCCATTACCTTAACAGCTATAGCAAATGCTTGCCTGCGAGTTTCAGTTATTTTCAAGCCAAGCAATCACATCGCTTAAAGTGCATTTAGGACAGAAATTGTTGCCTAAATACATTCTCCTAACCTAATCTGCTTTTCAGTTGATGAAGAGGAGGAGCCTCAGCAGTAGTTGAGCTTTATATTCACAAGGTGGCCTAAAGCAGAACTTTTCACGACTGCCACACACTACTGGCTGCAGGTTACCATGTTTTTCTAGGCAAAGGGCTATGGAGTATGTTCTCTCATCCTCCTAAGACAAGGACACAAAGGTTTGCTCAGTGGCCTGCCAGTTGCTCTTTCTTTCATCAAGCTAAGGGGACTTGATGATAAGACGAGTCTCCAACACCACCATGACAACGTGGTTCCTAAGCATCAGCCAGACCTGTAAGACTTCTTGCCAGCCTTGGATACACGTTTCAGCACGATGCAAATGCCCTAGAGAGATGTATGACCATGGACAGAAGTGGAAAGCCAGCCTAACTGATTTTAAAAGCAATTTAGACTGCAACGCAGCAGTGAGTTCAGGTGGAAAACATACATTAGCCAGAATACCAGCATGGGTATTTACAGCCTTGAAAACCACCGACTGAAGCTCCCAGATAGTCACGAAAGGAGAGGATTTAGGACTGCAACAAGTGCAGAAGTGATGTTTCCCTACTCACCACGATGATCAGCTAGGGTCAGAACACACATACATAGAAAATGTTTAAAATAAACATAGGGTTAAAGCTAAATATTTCATAAACACGTATCTGAAACACAAGGTTTTAAGGAACTTAAGGATTAAGCAAAATACACAGGAATGGGAGAAATACAGGGTTTTTTCTGCTGCTTAGACAAACTTACGATCCGCAGGAACTTGCTTCTGCCTCTGGGTGTCTCGTGCAACACTACCACCGCTGTCGCTGGAGGTGCTGCTTTGGCGGCTGACGGCGGCTGGCGCTTTGGGCACGGGAACCGGTATAGGTGCTGGTGCACTAGGAGGAAGGGGGACAGCCACGGGGACAGGAGCTGGCGTTGGAGGCGGCGACGGAGTAGCAGGAACTGGATCAGGTTGTTTTGCGACATAGTCCGTCCTTTGTTTCTGCAAAGATGTGGACAGTCAGTTCGACAACAAAACTCGGGCAAGTCAGGTTTCCGCAGAAAACGCTGGGACGTTTTGCACCAACTGATTTCATTTGTTGCACAAAGACATCTTATTTGGCAGATATAATTCCAGAATTTGCCATAACTTCATTTGGCATCAATGTTTGACACCAGTTTCCTTCTCTGCTGGATACAAAATTCACAACAATGGCATCATCTGAAACACATTTATTTCCTCCCAACAGATGATTTCTACAAATTAATTTTTTTTTAAATGCCAGACTTCGTTTACTTGGCACTTGTAAACATCTTCCAAAATTTTTGAATTGTTAAGTTTTTCAGTGTAAAGGTGTATATTTTAGAGACGTTAAGATTAATATATCCAGGCACACCTACGCCTGACTGACGGTTTAACTCACAAGTGTCACTGGGGCTGGGGTAACACATTGTTTGTGAAAACACAGACATTGTTTCAGAGGTTCCTGCTCCTCCTACCATTCCCTCTTCACTATTTGGGTGATCACTAAATGCCACCTCGATGCAATGATCCAACTACAAAACCCCAAACCACAAACAACCCAATTCCTGGAACAGTGCTGTTGGTTTTCCCCCCCACCACTTTATGCAATGATTTAACAGGCAACTTATCTTCCTGCTGCTAACTAACTCACAGGTGTCTCAAGAATAATTTTGGGGAATAAAATTTTGTTTCTCCTTCTTCGCCTTTAAGTTGGCACCAGTTACAGGAAGAGGCATACATTTTCCCAAAGTAATCCCAATTGCAGGCAAGCCCAGAAGCGCATACACAACCAGGTTGCTAACCTTTTCTTTCAAACCATTCAAACTCCCCACCTCACTGTTTTAACAGTGCTCTCGCTCCACAGTTTTGGACTAACGCAGCTTGAAAGTTTAATATTAAAGTTTGTTTGCTCAATTGGGATGCCTCATTTCTTAGTTATGAGAAGTCTGCTTACTTTGGTATGAAAATAGATGAGTACATTCCCCAGATTCATTGCTCCTTCCTGAAATACTCTTCCCTATTTCCTTGGAGGCAGAGGGTTTACAGCAGATCAAGCAGGGAAATATTTGTAGGAGCCATATGTTAGAATCTGAGCAGCACACCACTGCCCTGACAAAAATCATTAAATGTCAGCAACTGCCATTATGCAGGAATTCACCAGGTAAGTCTAACCCATGGACAAGGCATTTTGTAGTGAATGTAAACTGGGACCGTCACAGCTAAGCTATGCTGAGTTACACCAGCAGAGAAGTTATCCCATCAGCTTCTGTGGCCAGTAAATCAAGCTAGGAAAAAACTCTTTGGTTTGCCTTCAGTAATTTTTCACTTAAATTGCAGTAGTCAATTAAAGTGCCTATTAAAACTTCTGCGTTTTTTTTTTTTCCCCTTAGCATTTAGTTGTTCAAAGGCATTCACCTCAATTATTCTGTGTTCACTTTGTGCAGTGCATTGTGGGGAGATTAAAAAAATATCCGATGATCGATTTTTCTGTATTCTACTTCTTCAATGTTAAGACAATAAATGCTTTTTTAAATGTCAAATGCCAATAAAAGTGAAATGCATAATATAAGTATACATTATTCTGATTGTTATCATTTAAGAAACCTTTCCTTTCTTGGAAAGAGAGCCCTACTAGGCATACAGTAAGTATACCAGAATTTATAGTACTATAGTACATAATACATCATTGATAGATGTACTATGGTATGTCCAGAATCTTATTAATGAACTTAAAAACTTCACAGATATTAATACGTTCTAATGACATTCAGATATTTTTAAATCCTTGTTCACAGAATCCAGTTGCTAGGCTGTTATTCCCCACAATGTACCCTCATGTGTGCCCTGACCTTATACAACATGCAAGGAAAAAGCAGGGTTTTTTCTATGGTAGAGAGGATTCAGCACAAACCAAAGCATCAATGGCATCCCACCACAAATGATAATCCAGAAAAAAGTGATAGCTAAACAATACACGCAGTGCTCAATGGCTGCTACCGATGCAGTTTCAAAACCCTGTTGTACTGCAATCACAAGCCTCATCAAAATGACTTGCTGGAATGAAAACAAAAATCCAACTGGAAGCATCACTCAAATTCTGAATTTATAGATGAAACCACATTGAAATACACTTCACATTTTGCTGAACGGTGTCCAAAAGGCCAATTATGCATCTGAATCACATTTAACATTTCTTTTTTTAATACTTGGTTGGTTTTTTTTTTTAAACTCCAAATCTTTTGAGGATATCACACATTCATCCCATCAATTCTATTCACTGCTACAAACAAACCAAGTATGCACTATGGAATTTGGTGACTACATAGTCCAAGAGTCATTTTTGAGGTTCAATATCAGACGAGTAATTTTTTTACCTCTGAAAGCTCTCCTAGTAATTGCTGTGAGGAAAATGGAGTAAATCACATCAAAGAGCACTGTTAGAAAGGTTAAGAATAACTGCCTCACACATCACTCCTGAAATGTCATACACATTAACAATTTAAAACAAAGGAACGTCAGTGCTGATAATTACCTCTTCTTACTCACTAAGCCCCTCACATAGCGAGTGACTCTCATTTTCTTCTTTTGAATGATGAACCACTGGATTGTTGGCTACAAAACATACTGAAGTGACACTACATACGTTCCTTTCAAAGTACCTCTCCAGACAGAAACTTAAGAGGGAGGTTTAATAAAAAACAGAACCCAAACAAAAAAAAACCTGCAATGGACTGAAGATCACAAGGTGAATGTAGAGGACGTTTACAACTGTAGAACAACAAGAACTAAGTCACGGCAGGTATTAGGTAAGGAAATTATTTATATTAGCTTAAGAAATGTTGGTTAGCTTAGAAAATGAGGGAAAGGTGACTGCTGACAGACATGTACTCACTAACGTGCTGACAGCTGTCAGAACAACAAACAATTCTGGGTTTTTTTGTTTTCCTTCTTCCTCATATTTTTTTCTTGTAAAAGTTAACTGTAATCTTCAACTCACGTAAACTGGAACAAATCCTTTAGGTTATTTGGAACAGTTATAATATATCCAGATTTTTAATGTGTGTGTATCAGAAAAGCTTACTGGGAACTAGATCTTTTTTGCCAGAAAAATCTTTGGTTTTGCAGGAAAAAATAGAGGTCCCAAAACTCCTTTCAGTCAGTGTGTTTTGATCTATTTCTAATGTAAGCAAAATAGTAAGTTTGAGTAAGACTGCTAATGGTATCAACCCTCGTTCTTGATCACTGTAGAAAGACTGGGAGCGACATCTTTTCAAACACATTTTGGCATCAAACGCAGGGGATACGTGTATTCAAACTATGGCAAATACACACTTTGCACCAAAGAGGTATTGGATACAACCATAACCAGCATTAGTGCTGGGAAACACTCTCATTAACACAGACATGGAGCTTCCCCTTTACTCTCCAAACGTTTCAGTGCCACTTTCCTGTTTGCAGTGACAGATCACCAAGAGGGCTGCAGAGCATTCAGCCTCAGTTTTGCTGATGATGGACTTGGGGTTTGCATGTTTTCTTGAGATTTGTTTAAAGAGAGAAGAGACAACCAACTCCTTGTCTTCAAACAAAAAGGACAGTGAAGTTACTAAAGACTGGGAGAGCAAATTTCAAGTGAGGTCTCTCGTCACAGGTTCCTTTGGTGTGCTCAGTTATTATACAGAGATAACCAGCTGCCTATTACAATCCCATTACAAGGCACCTAACTAGCTCTTCGCAGGGTGAAAAGAATTTATCTTTCCATTGGATTTACAAAACTGCCTTGCCAGTATCTTGGCAGAAAGCAAGACGTGCATTAGAAAGGAAGGAGAAATTTAGACAGAACTGACTTATCCAAAATGGCATTAGCTACGATTAGATCCCAATTAATAAGAAACAGCTTTTTATTTTTTTTTTAAAGCCTTCAGAAAGTCTTGGTCTGATGGCAACTTTAAGGAGCATCTGATATGAAATGAGATAAAAGAGATACTGGCTCTCCAATTAACTAAGAAACAGCTTTTTATTTTTTTTTTAAAGCCTTCAAAAAGTCTTGGTCTGATGGCAGCTTTAAGGAGCATCTGATACGGAATGAGATAAAAGAGATACTGGCTCTTGGTCAGAAATTATGACATCTCTCTGGCCACTGCAAAATGAACACCTGGCAACCCTCTCTCTTCATTATCAAACACTTCATGATCTGCAGGAATAAGAAACAGCTTTTTATTTTTTTTTTAAAGCCTTCAAAAAGTCTTGGTCTGATGGCAGCTTTAAGGAGCATCTGATACGGAATGAGATAAAAGAGATACTGGCTCTTGGTCAGAAATTATGACATCTCTCTGGCCACTGCAAAATGAACACCTGGCAACCCTCTCTCTTCATTATCAAACACTTCATGATCTGCAGGAAAGATACCAGTTGGCAAAAGATGAGCAATGACACTATGACACTAACTTGGAGCACAAATGCTGTGTTTGAGGGGAAACAACTTCCCAGAGAGATATTTTAAATGAGATGCAAAGCAAAGAGACTTGAAAGAAAGGTCTTGATTGTAGATCGCCAAGAAATGTAAAGGCCACTTGTCCCAGCTGAGGTGGAGACTTTTGTCTTGGTGTTTACGTAACATAAACTTGCCTCTTAAATATACTGTCATACTTCTGTGGACAGTTGTGTTTTTTTATAAAACTACAGGACTGCATTTGGCTTAAGATTTACTCTCTGTGCCTCAGGATTTCATACGCATCACTGTTAATACAACTGTCTCACCTCACAAAGGGTGTCACGAGATTAATTAAAATGCCCACCAAGATACACACCTCTCTCCCAGTTACATTCCTCAAATTTCTTTTTCAAGGCCACTAAAAAAAAGTTAGTAAAATGTACAGTACCTAGGAAATATTATGATTAATTATTTTCTAGGTTCACCAGCAATACTTGTACAAAAGAAGAAATCAGAGTGCTTGGGCAACTGTTTATGGTCATATATAATGGGATGGTGAAGTCTCACTGTTGTTTCACAATAAAAAGGCAGACTAAATGACCAACACCACAGGGACTCTGATAATCAATAATTAACACTGATGAAAAACATAATCAGTAAAATGCTCTCCTAAATGTACAAAAGTACCAAACAAGCAAAAACATGGTTTTCCTGGAACTAATTCAACTGACCAGAAGACAGACAGCGTTACAGCCTCTGGTACACAGAGATGATGAAATAAGTAGGATATTGGTTGCAGTGTTCCTGCAATTATCACCTTGGACAATTTGGTGCTTTCAAGTAACTATCTGGGACCTGGATCCTGAAAGGGACTGAGAGAAAAATCAGGATCTGATCTAGAGTGTAGACTCAATAGGTCACTAGAAGAGAGATCAGAATGAAAGTAAAATAAACTGCATTTCTGAGAATAATTGTGATAATGAGGCATCCATCTCTTGGAGAAAGGGTGTCTGTCTGCAGAATAACTGAATGAAAGGAATTATCCCTTTCAGTGGTATCCTTAATCCTTCCTAATAACCTGAAAACATCCTTTGGTCAGCTGTGCTTTGAAGGCCATTAGCCTGTACAGAAATAGGCCAAACTTGTACGTACAGCTCTGCGACTCAAAGCCGGTCAGGGTGTTCACCGCAGCAGGCAGACTACTTTGAAAACAGTCTTTAAAACCAGAGATGACTTAGGAGACTGGCAAAAGCTGCAGAGCACCAGGCACTGAGCCTGCTCTAGTTCAAGGTCTGGCAAAGGCACTGATAGGAACCGCTTCAATTTCCTGCTCTAGCCACAACTTCTCCTGTTTGACCTTGGGCAAGGCAGTCATCCCTTCAATGCCTCATTTCTTCCTAAAATAGCAGCAAAGTCTCATAGGGCTGTTATGAAAACAAATAGGGTTATGCAAACAGATCCCAAATGAACCATGTATCTATCACAAGGAAAGAGACAAATGAGCATGCTCAGGAGTGCTAAAATTATTATAATCATGATAAAGTTAAGAACAACATTAGTGACACTTCTTAATAAAGACTCCCTTTATCCTGTGTAATTCATTACATTCCTAAATAATTTCACGGTGTTTCAAACTCATGTCTGAATATGATAAAGCTACAAAAACCAAACCACGGACTGTAGGGAACCACCTGCCAGAGGGCAAAGAAACAAAATTATCCTAAATGTTGTTCTCTGACCCTGATTTTTATAGAACCGTGGAGAATGCTTTGTGAAAATGATTATTATTTCCCACGTCGTGTCATTATTTCAAGCAGAAAGCTTCAAAACCTGCAGTGCATTGCAAAGAATCACGCAAGAGCCTCTGCTCAAAACTGTACTCAGTCTGCTCAGGATCTCTCGGCAAATTCCAAACATAAAGAATGACATGCACCTCAAAGAAAAAAAAAGTCAGATCTTCAAATCAGGATTTGACAACCACTCTAGAGGCATGCTTCATTTCACAAGCAGGCAAAACCCATAACCAATTTAGAATGAGCTCATACATTATAGGCAAACAATTAGGGATAGGAAAAACTCTGAAATGGCCTGATTCAAGCCAGCCAAGCTCAAGGCTGCTGTACCACTTTATTGCACCAGAAACAGCATAGGACCTGTTTCTCAAGAGACTGTCCATATGGATGGAAAGACTGGAAACACTGCAAAAGCTGCAGCTTTCAGGATGGCTGTGCACACAGAATCCAGCACTGCAACAACCTTCGACTGGGACTCCTAGATGGGTCTGCAGCACAGACAGTCAACAGTAACGTTACGGCAGTAACGTTTCTCGTTTTGCAGTCATCTGCTGGAGAGTGTGGGCACAAGGAATGAAGGTTAAATTAAATTCAACTTCAAGTTTCAACAGAAGTTTGGTTTGCATTTAGTCTGAAAAAGTCAGATGCAGAGGCAGGTCTGGAATTTCTGCTTAATCCAAATTTGTTTGCCTAACCTTTCAAAATCATTAGATATGAAAGGAAAGAAATGGGTCTTCCAAAATACAACCTTTTATTTTATAAGCCTCCAGCCTACTTAAAAGATGTCTAAAAATACACTTTAGAACTTTATCCTGTATATTGTTTCTCAGATGGACAATTGCACTGACGTAACTTTTTTTTTTTTAAAAAGTATTTTACCCTTTGCTTCTGTTCAACTTATAAAAGAAACAACACCAAAGAAAACCCAACTTAAACCCACACCACAACACAAAAGAAATAAACCCAAAATTAGGTCAGAAGAATAGAGTAGTATTGATGCACAGGCATAGTAATTGAAAAATACTTGCTTTGTGAATTCAAAAGCAAAGACGTCTATTTATGACTCCAAATTTACAACACTTGAAGAAACTCAAGAGTAAGGTAGAGACACACAGAGACAGAAAATAAAAAGAAAAGCTAGCATTCACTCTTCTAGGAGAAACAAAGATGACCCTACCTTAAATAATTCAAACTCCTTCTTTGGCATCAACAGCTATCAACCCACAAAGGATATTTGCAATTAAAATAAATGCATACACATCCATTAGGATTGAATTTACCACCTCTATGCAGATAAGGAGAAAAACACCCCACCAGTGAATCTATTCTTCCTTTACACACACACTTCAAAAGAAAGTTTTGCTCCCAAGGCGCAGATGGTACCTGGATGGTGCGGGTATATGCAGGCTCTGGCCATCCTAGACCACCTTCTTGACTCCTCAGAGGGTCCAATATGTTGTTTGGCACAAAGCCTGTGCTGCCACTTTTATTCTGGACTTTCCACCACTGCTTTCTGTCATCCAGAATCTGAAATAATATGGCATTTTAATTACATATGTTTTCTGATTTCCCTCCTGCCAGTACTTAGACCGTGCATCATCTAAAAACAAAACCGTAACTTTGCCAGGTCCCGTGATAGCCAACAGATCTTACACAGATGTCCCTAAGAAACCTTTGCAGCCTTCCTTGGTTATCAGCATCACTAATCCTACATGGGAGTACTGTACTTTTCAAAACATGGCTCTTAAGTAGGGATATGGAAGAAAAGTGTGCAATGAGCTTCTGTAAATTCAGACATGCTGGACAACGCAGCAGACTGACAGTCAAATGCTTGCTCAGAGAGGCTGGCATCTTTAAAACCTATATGCTGCTAATAAAAGGAGTAAGTACATACTAATAATCCAAGGAAAAGAGCATCCTTCTAGGAGAGCACAAATCTGGAGAGAGTGTACTTCTGAGTACAGGGAACTGGAGCAGGATGGCCAGCAGTAATCTGAAAACTGACTACCTGCCATGCAATCTTACATACAAGATTTTCTCTCTTTGTTGCTCCCTCCCTTCCAAATTTGTCTAGCTTTCAGGGTACCAACTCTTCCAGGAAAGCACAGTCTTTCACTTTGCCCTGTGTATACAGACAGTGTTCGCCCGAGCCAACTACAGAAGGAGGCTTTTAAAAGCAACACTAGAGAAGAAGGAAGAAACACAAATATATTTCTAGCCTGGATCGCTACAGCACCAATTCATAAGTCAGCAGAGAATGTTTGTTTATCACGTCTATGATGCAAAACAAATTATTTGAAGTTTCCATCTTAGGGGAGAAAAATCAAAAGCATTGAAGTAATCATTAAGGCCAGCCATAACGCCCACAGGAAAGGTAACCTCAGCCTCGAGTAGAACCAGGGATTTGGTGTTTCTCTTTGCAAAATTTACCTCTACGACCTCTTCTTTCATGACAGAAAGCTCACTGTTGTTTCTTGCCATAAATTCGTACTTGCATTTGGCATATTTCTTGGTCTGTGCTTTACTGTGTGCTTCATAGTTTCTGCAAAGCAAGTATCAGACATTTGTTCAGTGAGACCTTCAAGGAAATAAAAACATAGACAAAATGCCCTCTTCCAACAACCTGCTAAACATTTAAACAAAAAAAAAAATCATTACATGATGCTGTAGGAGTACTTATTCATAAAACACTGATTCAAGTTCCAAAAAAACAGAAAAAAAAAAATCAAAAGAAGCCGTTGAGCTAATGGACCTCAAGAACCATTAACCTTTATCAGCTCACTGCTTGCAAGATGTATGATAACAACTAAGAGTAGCAGGTGCCACTGTATTCAGATAAACATGTACACTGTATTTAGTCTGTTTTCATACAGTAGGCGAAACAATCATGTGCCGTACAAACAAACTACTACACTTAGTATGCAGTTGGTATCTTGTGCTTTGTATGAAACTATTTTTCATGTTGATCATAAATGAAGTTTCAAACATATAAGAAACAAATACACTTCTGCCATCAACACCGCTGGAATTAAACACTATTTAAACAGTGCTTGCCTACTGTAAGTCCCTAAGATCTTGACCATAGATACCATCAGCTCGAACAACCTCAAGTTACTCTATCAATTAAACACAGCTACTTGGCAGTTACAGACAGGCATACCACAGTGTAACTCTGTGTCTTTCTGTTGCCTTGAGGAAAGACCTGTTCAAATTGCCTTTGGGTACAAGCTACTGGTTTCTTTGACATAGTACCTCTTCAGGGTGAGAAGACCCCAGTCCCCTCAAAACAGGTCCAAAAGAAACAGTAACATTATTTGTTCATTGCAAATTACACCCAACAACCCAAATCTATACCACGTAGTAAAGTTTAAAAAAAAAGGGATAATGAACGAAACAATCAATGGCTTGAAAAGCTGTACAGGCATCACAGCACAGGGATGCAGATGGGTGCTGATGTCGGTGCCGTGTAACCGTGGGTCCCAGGTGTGCCTGAGCAATCCAGTAGTTACCTAGCTATTGCATGGCTGTGGAGAACTGTCTCACTTGAGGTGAAGAGCAGAACAAAGGAAGAGTCAGATTCAAAGATTATTTTGAAAAGAAGACAAAACACTGAAAGAATTTAAGGAGAGTGAAAAACACGGGATGAACTCTAGCCTGAAGAATAGCTGTTATGATGTTGAAAGACGTGTATATAATCCCAATTTTTTCTGCCACTCAGTCAAAATTTATATAATTTTTATCTCCTTTCTTACTATTTCAGGGATATGACTAATGTCCTTCTGAAGGTACTTTTATTTTTAGGCTGCTTTTCCAAACTCATTTCACTAACTCTGTCTTCCTACCTTGTCCACACCTAACTATCCTGATCCCTTCAAAAACCATAGCTCAGGAAGAATGTTAAAATATGCTTATATTTCAGTTTTATTCCACCCTGTTGTAATCCACAGCAAAATCCCCAAAACACAGGCTGGGCATCGGCTGTATGCTTCTCAAGAGGCCGTAATTCCTCACGCCCAACTTACTGAGCCAGTTTACTTGGGGCATAAATGTTCTCCGTGCTTCCCTCCCTCCATACATCCTCCAACTGTGTTTTCTTATTGCCTACCACTGTAACTGCAGCCCTGTGTGTGACAGCCTGGCAGACTGCACAGGCTCCTGGGGTGCTGTTTCACAAATGACAGCACAAAATCAAACTACACAGTGTACTATTCCGAAATACCATGCAACTCTCTGAAAAACTACTCAGTAGTCTTTCAGCATCAGAGAGAGTCCCCAGCCTGCCTAGTAACACACTGGAAATTTAATATCCTGACACTACATTTAAGTGACTGAAGGAAAGCACACTTTACTAGGGGTCTGGTATGCTGGCATAAAGGGCACTGAAATTCCCTGTGATTAAAAGTTCCCTGGACAAAGCATAACCCACCTGTCCCTCAGAAGGTAGTGGGTGGCTTGGATACTGCTTCAGACCACTCACTAGGAATGCCAGCTTTGGACAAGGACCAGCAAATGATGGCTGAAAGGGTCAGCTTGAATTTCCCACTCCCTCCCCCAAACATACTCCTCCACCTGCTTCTTCACAGATGCTTTAAGATTTACCTTTAAATGGGCATTACTTGGGGTAATACATATTAATAGCTTCCCCCCAGTAACGAGCTCCTGCCAGGCACGTATCAAATGTCTCAACAGTCAATTAACAAATGGAAGTTTGTATGGTGTTGAACAGCCTGGGCACACTGTGGATGTTTGCATCAGGTCCAGACATCTAGACTCCCTCCCAAAATCAGTGGTGAGAAACAGGTGAGTATTGCATGTCTCATTTCATGTCTTTCAGCAGACTAACTTCACCTTACATTGACTGCTTCTCAGAAACACCCATTTCTCTTTACCAGCCACAAAGGAGGCTTGGATGACTTCCAGTTGCAGCCAGATACACTGATACCATCGACTGTTCAATGTAATAAGCCCCATTGTCTAAACCTGAAATGGAGGCAACAACATTTGCATGGAATACTCTTAGTTTGAAAGGCCAAAATAGGTCATATCACATTACAGATAAGAGAGAAAGGAATTCAGCGTATAGACCATCTGGATTTCAAGCTGACTGGTCTTGAGACAAGAACCCAAGAAGAAACCAAGTTTGAAAAAAAGATTAGAGCCGACTACTACAGCAGTTGTTGTTATAAAGAATAAAGTTCAGGAAAAGAATCAAGTCTTCAACCTGCACACCATGTGGGAATTTGTTCGCATGCAGATTAACAACAGGATCTTTTAGCACATAGCTCAAACCCAGGGCTTGTACACTGGTTTTCATCAAAAGAGTTATATGAATGTTGGTTTAACTAGTAATCTGATCCCCAAAAAAATAGATTAAACAACATAGCACATAAACTAAAATGCTTTTCATATGGTATATATGGACTATGGGTTGGCATGATGGGGGAGCAATTCCATCACTGCTTTACCAGTTTACTTCCACAGCTTGTACTGGTATAAATTCTCCCCAAAGACAAGGCCGAGGCTCCAAGGATCACTGCATTTGATCTAGACAAGCTGTTCGGATTTAGGCTAAAATGGCAGGGATGATAGGGGATGTGCAAAAAGACACTGGTTGCTATGCAAACATTTCAGAGCATTTTTTGTAACATTTCAAAGAGAATGGAAGAAACAAGGAATTACTGTTCTGAAAGGGAGTATTTATGCACTATCCCAGAAAACAAAAAGCAGGAGACTACAGAGCACTAAGTGAGCAGCTAAATAAATCAAACAACCACTCAAATCAAGGACAGATGAATCTCAGAGCAGACTTGCCATTCCTTGTAGTTCTGAAAAGAACAAAGAGTATTTTTAAAAACATGAAACAGAACAGAAATCAAATTTGAACCCAAACAGAAGGATTCTGTGTTCTCAGTCGGGTTGGAATTCCACCATACTATTTTTGACAAAAGCACCGATATAACACCATACATAAACAGGGTAGTTTCATTGAAATTATATTAAAAAGAGTCTTAATGATGTGCCTTAGAGAAGCAAAAGCAGAATACCCGCTCTAACCAGAATCACTTCCTCACAGAAAAAAAGCGACAACCAAAGGCAATTACAGACACCGCCACCCCAACAGCAATAAGTCGGGACAGTTATCCACAGCACCACGCCCGCCGGTGATTCAGGGTTACCTATCTACATGTCGGCTAACAGTTTGCTTAAAGGCAGCCACGGCCGCCCCCTGGTCCAGCAGAGGCCCTCTTTTGTACACTGTGTTACTGAATGCATACCCGTCCGACGGAGGGTAGTCAGGAACACCGGGAGGCTGGAAGACACAAAAGAAACAAAGCCACAAAGTGGGTTAGTGTCATCGGCAACGCCGCCCAGTTCACCGAATCCAGCAGCCCTAGGGTCCCTGTCAGCATTCACGTGTCCTCAGGTGCTCACGTTTCTGCTATGAAAAGTTAATAACTTCTGCATTTCAAATACATAAACAGGGCGATCAAAAGGATAAGAAGAAAAGAATTGCTATCCTAAGTCATCCCACTGCATTAATATTGCAGGGGGCATTCTTTAGAAAAACAGTTCTCTGGGGCAAGGACCATGTCATCTCTCAGATATCACTACAGCAACACAACGGCTCAATGGCTTTAAAATAAACTGCGCTGAGAAACCGCTTTGAGCTTTTGTTCTAGATGCACACTTCAAGCCAGAAACCTCTAGTTAGCCAACAGTAAGACTGCATAAGAAACAAAACCTCCCAAGCAGAATTATCACTCTATTGCAGGATCATAATATCAAGTGGCTCATTTATGTCACCCTCTCACTGAACACGACTCTAGTCAATGAAGAAATGCAAAAAGGAATGTGACATGGTGTAATTAAGAAAAATAATCACAATTTATCACAAGCACATACATAAGAACATTCAAGGCTTTAGGAAATTCTTTTTAAACAGCAGTCCTTTAAAAAAAATCCACCTTACTTCCAGCAATGATACTGTGATTCAAAATAAGAATTATTTTAACCACCATTCCCCAAAACAAAAACAGGCTAAGCAGTTCGTTTCTGGAGATTACGATAATGAAATTGCTCATTCTAGTTCTTTTCCTTATGCCATCATCCAGTTGCACATTGTAACAGCTGAGATTCACCAGAAATTGCCAAATCTTTAAGCCTGGTTTGTTGGGGTTTTTTTGGTGTGTGTGGTTTTTGGTGGGTTTTTTTGGTTGTGGGGTTTGGGGTTTTTTTGTGTGGGTTTTTGTTTTTGTTTGTGTGTGTGTGGTTTTTGTGGTGTGTGCTTTTTTGGTTATTGTTTTTTTTGTTGGTGTTGGTTTGGGGTTTTTTTGTGTGGGTTTTTGTTTTTGTTTGTGTGTGTGTGGTTTTTGGGTTTTTTTGGGGGTGTGTGTGTGTGTGTTTTGTTGTTGTTCTTGTTCTTGGTTTGGGTTTTTTTTGGCTACAGAAAAAACACTCGCCTAATTTTGACCTGGCACACAGAGACACTTGCTTACAGGGCCGAGGGTTTATGAAAAGAAATTAAAACCACACTAAAGCCCCTAAACATACAGAACAGAACATGTATTATTAAAATCTCTCTGAAAAAAAACCTCAAGTGTCACCCAGCTTATTATACCTTACATCCAAAGACACCCAGGAAGCAGGAACTCATTTTACTTCACACCCAAATTATTTGCATCGCCTTAGCCTCACTGGACTCTCCATCACCAGTTCCCTGTTGTTTCACTGCCTTTTGAAACCTTCATCACTGAACTGGGCCCACCTTGAAACTGCAACCCCTCAGGTGGGGGCTGTGTGTGTGGCCAGATCTTAAGATTCATGAACAGAAAGGAAAAAGAAGGGTTCTTCTGAGCGGGAAGCTCCAGCGCACTTTGCCGGATGCCGGAGCAGTCCTGGCTCAGCAGGGAGGGCAGCCGCACATACCCCCCTGCCACTCCCAGCACCGCACAGCTCTCCACATCCAGCCTCCTTCCTCGGGAGAGCACTGTCACACCGAGTCATGAGGCCAACTAGCAGCAAGTGATGAACACTTAGATTCCCATTTTTCCAGAGCCCTTCATTAAACAAGCTCTTACAGCACACTTGGGAAGGAATCCTTATTCTGGTATTGCACACTCCAGGATTGTCCTTTTGCTGCAGATAAACAGCATTTTGCACCCTCACGGCTTTTTCTAGCTGAGCACCTACCGCATTTCACAGCTACTGAGCAGCTCAGTGCCCTTCCCCTAGGGATGTGCTGAGGAGGCACCATCGCAGGCAGCCGAGGTACCAGGGTTAAAGGACTTGCCCAAGAGCACACAGGAACCAGAGACAGCCATGAAACTAAGCCCTGCCGTCCCAGGTGCCATGCACAACGAATGCCTAGAGCCAACTGGCAGTCTATTTTTTTTCTGTCTTTTGAAGATGAAGGGGATGCTAAGTCAGCACAATTACCTACCACCGCCAAAAAGTATGCAACCAAGTCCCTGGAACACAAGCCACCAAAATCCCTCAAGGTATCTTTCCCTGCCGAATTTGTTTTAACTTATTACATTTACAAATAATAAATGAAATGCTTCCAATCACTAGAAGGGAAAAATTAATGCTCCTCTTTTTGGAATATTTAAAAAAAATATTTAGAAGCAGCACAATGTACACAAAGAAGCCTGCATGGAAATATAGAGCAGCACTGAAACACAGATAATGTTTGATGAGGTTTTTTTTGGGAGATGACTAGGAAAGGGGGTGACAGCAATCACAACACTGTGCCCGTTAACTCAATGTTTTTATGCTCAAAAGAGATCTCAGGCAATAAATTAGTTTTTGGTGCATTTATTCCTGTGTATCTTGTTAGGCATAAAGCCAAATGGTGTTTTAAGTGGTCAAATATGTACCATGTCATCCCCTTTTGCCCCATCACTGTGCTCAGGACCTCCCAGCAAAGGGGTGACGTGGCAGGCTCCTCCCTAGGGCCACCTCCTGCAGAAGGGGCAAGGGCAGGTGCTTCCTCCACAGGCAAACGCTCACTACAGTAACTCAACAATAGGAAGCTGAAGCCTGCTCAAAACCAAAAATGACAACTGTGACAAATATTTTTGGAAAGCACAAATGGCAATCAGGCGATCCTTCCGAAATCCTTCCCCCGAACCTTCTTCCATATGTGCACTTTTGTCACTAACAGACTTGTCAAGCTCACCATTATACAATTCAGATAAGATCCAGCATCATCGCGTTAAGATGTGCTGTGAATATAGCACTGGTGATAGTGCTCAAGGAAGGTAGGAAAGGCTATGGACTGAACCTAGAAAATTCGTAGGTACACTTCCACATCACAGCTGTTAACAGGGCAATTTGGAGCAGTAAAGCCTTGATTTAAACTAAAACTAGCATACAGAACTAAATTAAAATTTTAGATCAAAGCTTATGTTCTCCCAACAACAAAAAGCTTCCAAAACGAAAACTTTCATATGTTTAAAGAAGGCAATAGCTTTTTTGTGTGTGTGTGTGTGTGTGAATAAAAAAGCAACAAAATCCACCTTTATTCTTAACATTTTCACATCTTTCTGTTATCCAAACAAAATAACATATCAACCAAACGGAATTGTAAGGGCTTGGATTTTCCTCTCATCTGAGGTGGGACAGTCCAGCAAGTTCAAGGAGAGCTGTAGGCAAAAGCCTTCTATTTTTCCTGACAGCATTTCTGGTGGCTGAACAGGTGTGTGGTTCCACATAACTTTATTGTAAGTGTACTGAGCTTGCACTGATGTAGCAGACATCAGAGCACGGCTACTCCAACATCACCACAGAGTATCTCCCTTATGAAGGACGCAGCTGGCGTTGCCTTCAGCTAATCCACAAAACGCTCTCGCAGGTAGCCTACCTCAGTTGACAGTCTCTTCATTTCTTGCTTCCGCTGTTGCTCTGCAACGTTTGCCACGGACTCAGCCAAATGATTGAGTTCTTGCTCCTTTGGAGCTCCCATGAAGTTCAGCAAAGGAGGCTCCCAACCATTTCGGAAACGGGGGACATAGGGTGGAATAAAATGATCTTTGGGCCACTCCGCTCTGTAGGAAAAGTAAATTAGAGATCTGTAACAAGTGCCACACAAATATTAGTTTAATAGGTTTCCTAAAATTTGAAATGCTTTAGAATTTTTACTAGTGTAGAGGAGAGGCCAGGATACCACACTACTACAGGCAGAATTGTGCTAGAACACAGAAGATCATCAGAAAACATTTATTGACCACACTATGCTCCCTGCTGTGTCCTGCAGAATGAAACTGCTCCTGCCATAAGGACTTGTCAGTGGCCAAACAAACAAATTTCTGTCTTGTAGCAAAGGATAAGTAATAGAGGAATCAATCACAAACAAATCTAGGATTTGTTTTAACTGTTAGATGGGGAAAAATACTGCAATGCTCTATTTGTGTGAAAGCACCAGACACAAGACTTCAAAGAAACAAACTGCTTTATAAGAAATTCTGAAAGCAGGGATGAAGCATGGAAGCTTAGGGGCCTAGCTACACCTAGAACAAAGAGTTAAACAGCAGCTTTTACTGGAAAAAACCACAAACCAAACAACCCACCAAAAATAAACAAACAAAAAAAC